AGCAGCGTGCGGGGAACGCCCGATACCGTGGGATACGAAGACGCAACGGCGAAGGAAGTCGCAAGTGGGGATGTGGATGCCCCACACGAAATCGAGGCCGATGACGACGGCGCCGCTGTTTTTGGCGTCACTGTATCGGGCGTCCAGCAAGACGACGCTGATGTAGGCGAAACCCCCAGCAACCCAGCAGAACATGAACAACGGACGGATTTAGCACCGCTCAACCACGATGGCGAGAGCATGATGGAGGATTTTTCCATGAGCGACGCTGACACTGCGAGTGCGACCGGCGCGGCTGAGGAAGGTTCTTTCCTCGGGCTGCCTGAGATCGACTTGCGCGACATCTTCGAAATGGAAGCTTGCGCGTCAACGTTTGTGTCAGTTGGTGACAGCGAGCTGGGTACATTGGAAGGACAGTCAAGCGATACCATTCCTGGTCAGAACAGGTTGGAGGTGGAGTTATCGGGCGAAACGCGGAAGGAGGGTACGGCGGCAGCCGAAATGGCAGCTTTAAGCTACCAGCCGAAAGTTCCACAGACGCGAACAATTGCTACCGCACGTGCCTACCGCCCTGACAAGAGTTCCTTCAAGATCCACCGGTTCTTTTGCCGGGTTTCTCAGCGGATCCGGCTTGCAAGATATGGAGGGGAACTGAACACGGGACATGTCTGATAAATAAGGCGAGGTGTCAAAGCTGTTTAAGGAGATTCTGGCGCGACGGCGTCATGCAGAGGTTAAATCGTAGGGCCGCTATGTACGTAGGGTGGCTTATGCGATTCTGAGTTCACTGAGACTCACTCACCTATTGGAAGGGAAATTCGTACAACTATAGATCAGAGTTGCAGTGATCGTGTTTAAGACCCAAAACTGAGCAAGTAGGGTTGGGGCAAAGGTACTTGGTAGTCTAAGTTGTGAAACTCTCAAGCAAGCAACGTCAATTGCTTCGTGCTCTTGTTGCTTGCCCCTACATTCAAGGTACCTAAGTGTCGGATTGGAGGTCTAATTCGACCGCGGCGTACGGCCGACTGCGCAGGGGCCAATTAGGGGCCCTATTTACGATTATCGTAGCCAGCCCAACCTACGGTTGGAACCTCCTTTTTACACCTACGCAGAAATTCATATAGTTCAATTGATCTCTTCGTCAACCACGGTTCGAACCAATTACCCTGTAATAGGGATACCAACACTAAGATATTTCCTCGTACACGTCAATCACCATGAGCGTCAATCCCGGCAGAGTCCCCGATTTTCGACCTTCGAGATGACAGTCTCCTTGTCCTGGAACACACAACGTGCAAGCGGCAGGCCAGTGTTCTCGCAGATAGACTGAATCTCATGGCTGCTGCCGCCGCCAACATCGACCAGTGTTACTCTGCCACCGCCTTCCTTTTCCGATGCCTCGGCGATCCACGAGAAGTCGTACACGCCGATAATGGGCGCCAGGCGATTCAACGCCGTCATGGCTAGCATAAATGCCTCTTTTTGCGCTGTTCGATATAGATACTCCACATCTCATTGTCCACCATGCCCTTCGTAAACGTCGAAGGACTAGGACCAAGGCCATCCGGCTCTTTTCGTGCAATGCTTTCAAAGCACCGAATCGTGTCGCATCCAGACAGGTCTCGATTCATCCTCGTCACATCAGCTAGAGCCGGAAGTGCTGTCGAAAGAATTTCTCACAATCCGATCCGGGTCCTTATACGGATTTCCGGGAGGGAAGATCGTAGACCTGGCCGTGTGTGCGGGTCGATCAGGCCTGGCTTCTATCAGGATACCCGTGGCAACGAACACAAGGGCAATCCTTTCTGAAGAGGTCAACAAGGAATGGACTATTGGGTTAGACGGCGTCACCTACTTAAAAAGGGAACAATGACCTCCACGCGCTCGCCTAGCTCCGTATAAGATATATGTTGTTCAATTGGGATGTACAGTATCGAAAGACGTGCTACTCATCGTGGAGCTTGATGATGGCCATCTTAATGCTCTGAATACTGTGTGTCAACCACCGTTCTCGGGGCTGTGCAGCGAGAATGCTGATGTCTCCCGTCAGTTGAGAATATTGTAATGGAGAGAAGTCTCTTCTGCTACGTCCACTTGCCGCGGACCGTATACTTCGTAATTACCCCGACCAGGTTCGTCCTCAGCTGCCGAAGTGTGTGGCAATCCTCGACTGACCTAAGGGGTGCCCGCTCTTGCGTGCCAGAGGTGTGTCGGACAGCAAGGAATGCAGCGATGAAGGTTATAGATTCAGGGGCTTGATAGGATGGTCGACGTCAACGTACGCCGTAGTGCATGTTTGCTCATCATGAGGCAAAAGGTTGATTGACGAGGACGGTTTAACTACACAAGAAGGCTCCCCGAAATGTTACAGTACGAACACTATGGATTGTAGATCAATGAAACGCGAGGAGCTTGAGCCAGCCTTAATCGGCTTCGTCACCCACAATGCGCAACCCTTCCGCCGGAAGTTGATTCCTGATCGAATCAAACCTGTCCGTCTCATGGCCACTTGTATACCGTCGATGTCGGAATCGGCATCTTGGTTGTCGATGGTGTCGGTGCTGTCGACTCGGTCGAAGAAAGTATCTTCCAAGCCTCCCTGCATGCCTGCGGTGCCTGCGGTGGCGGGTTTAGCTCCAAGATGGTCCGTTTCGCATTGTTGTCCACTCGAGGCCAGTGGTGGGTCCGCGGCATTGTCTTGCCCTACGACAGCGGCACCCGACAGCGGCACCCAACAGCAACTTCTGGCTCTCGCTTTCGCTTGCCTTGACGGCGACTCCGTCCACAATCGGCGTGGTCTTTCTCTTCTCTTCTGAGGACGGGCGGCGGAGCCCGAGACGGCTATGCTAGTACTGTTCACCGACTAACCGACCCTTGCACAACAGCCGGGACAGATCAGCTGTCATTTTGCCAGACCTGACGGGTACTGTAGCCTCTCCGTCGAATAAAAGCCCATGGCTGCGGGTCGGCTTCTGCGAAGGGGTGGCGGGGGCCAGTTGCAGGAAATCCCAGTCACCCACCACTCGGCGCCGATTCTCTATCTGGCTCACCATTTTCAAAGTGGCTTTCAATGTAGTTCGCTGACGAGCGGACGACGCTCAATTCGACACGTGAGGAAAAGATGCTGCGGTTTCGTAATGGCCGGACATGATATCCAGCTGTATCCAATATCTGATCAAAACGGTTAACCCTCTAATAAGAGTCAGTGCCATTATTGTTGCTCCGCTGATTCTGGCTCTTACACGCTTCCGATATCCGTCAGTGCCGGCTCAACATTGCAGAGACCGCGGAAAGTGGGTTTGGTGTTGCAGCACGAATTCATCCTATGCTTAATTATCATTTTGATGAGATTCGAAAAGAATATCGCAACTTTGCGACGTCGCCCGTCGCAGCCCAGGTTGGCAATCACTGATTCAGATTCAGCTCGGAGGATACACTGCAGAAACTCAAGTCATGGTTCCGAGAGATGCGTGTCCCGTGCGAGCAATCTCGCCTACGTAGCGCGTCTATGTAGCGATGAGTACATAACTTGAGCATCCAGATCTTCAAGACCTTGACCCCAAATCAGACACCAGTAATCACCCCGTCGCTGCAAGTCATACTTTGTCCTCAGCCCCGGCCTTCAGCATTTCTCTTTTCTTTGTGTAATACCTTGCACCTCCGCATGAGGTGACAGGGAATCAGGTCAGCATCACGAGTTATGGAATCGACACCCAACCACACAATAGATATTCTTGTGGTCGGTAGCGGCGCCGCTGC